TGCGAGAGCGCTGCTGCTGTTGTGGCTGCTGCTGCGGCTGCTGCTGCTGCTGCTGCTGCTGGCGCTGACCACCCCCAGAGCTGCTCCGCTGGGACGAGCCACTCCGACCCCCGCCTCCACCGCCACCCCCGCCTCCACCGCCACCCCCGTCTCCACCTCCACCTCCCCCACCAGGACCGTCGCTCCCACCGCTCCCACCGCCTCCTCCGCTACCACCTCCACCGCCACCTCCGCCTCCACCGCCGCCACCAGTACCTCCACTCCCGCCACCACCCCCACCGCCACCCCCACTCCCCCCGCCACCCCCACCGCCTCCTCCACCGCCCCCTCTAGCTCCACCCGCTCCCTTGCCCCCCTTGCCCTTGCCAGAGCGGCGTCTGCCGCTGGGGGCAGACGCCGCGCCGACCGACTCAAAACCAGTGAGGTCGGCCGCAGCGGCAGAGGCGACAGAGGGCAGCAGGGGGAAAGGACCACACCCCTCAAAGATGGGGGTGCGAGGGTCACCCCGAGAGGCCCCTACAGCGACAATACTCTTCTCAGCCGCTAGCAGGGACTCCTCAAGGAGGTCGACAGTGAGAGTGGTGGGACAGACAGAGAGAAACTGGTCCCTAACGACACGAAGGGACTCAGGGAGACGGGTGACGAGAAAGTAGAGAGTGATGTACATGGGAGGAGGGTTCGCAGCGCGGAACTCAGCAGGAAGGGCAGCGCGGGTAGCGGGTGTCACTAGCACGGAGGTGGGTAACGAGGTCAGCGACAGTGGGAAAGGAAGCGAGGTCAGGGAAGAGAAACGGTAGCATGAGGCGGCTAAGGGTAGCGGAGGAAGGGGAGGAGTAGCGTGCAACTACAGCGTCGTACAAGGCCTGAGCGGTCTTGCACTGACTAAAGTGGGCACGCTCAGAGGAAGGGAGGTGGCGACGCACAGCAAGACGTGCAGCAGCATCGCGGGTCGCCCACTTGGAGCGAACGGCAGAGTCAGCATCAGCAGGTGGGGCAGGGACAGCGCCAGAGACAAAGTCAAAGAGAGAGACCTCATCTATCGCATCACACAGTAAGTACAGCTGCAGGTCTTCAATCCAGACGGCAAAGTCAATGGCCCTCCCCTCAGCGTCAAAAGTAAGAACATTGGGGGTGGCCATGGCAGCAGCTGAAAGTCTCACCGGGCTGGGAGAGTCGGGTAGGTCAGCAGCAGAGGAACACAGCTCAGGAACAGCAGCACGGCTCCTCAGGCGGCTCGGGCGGCTCGGGCGGCTCGGGCGGCTCGGGCGGCTCGGGCGGCTCGGGCGGCTCGGGCGGCTCGGGCGGCACGGGCGGCTCGGGCTGCTCGGGCGGCGGCTCGGCCGCAGCTCAGCGGCGGCTCGGGCGGCGGCTCAGGTGGCCCGGGCGGCGGCTCAGGCGGCGGCGGCTCGGCGGCGGCTCGGCTGCTGCTGGGCGGCTCGGCTGATGCTGGGCGGCTCGGCGGGGCCGCGTAGCAGAGGGCGGCGGGGCCGCGTAGCAGAGGGCGGCGGGGCCGCGACCGAAGAGGGCGGCGGGGCCGCGTAGCAGAGGGCGGCGGGGCCGCGTAGCAGAGGGCGGCGGGGCCGCGTAGCAGAGGGCGGCGGGGCCGCGTAGCAGAGGGCGGCGGGGCCGCGATCGAAGGGCGGCGGGGCCGCGTAGCAGAGGGCGGCGGGGCCGCGTAGTAGAGGGCGGCGGGGCCGCAATCGAAGGGCGGCGGGGCCACGTATCAGAGGGCGGCGGGGCCGCGTGGCAGAGGGCGGCGGGGGCCGCGTAGCCGAGGGCGGCGGGGCCGCGATCGAAGGGCGGCGGTGGGGCCGCGTAGCAGAGGGCGGCGGGGCCGCGATCGAAGGGCGGCGGGGCCGCTAGGGAAGGGCGGCGGAGCCGCTAGGGGAAGGGCGGCGCAACGGGCCGCTAGGGGCGACACGACGGGTCGCTAAAAAAAAACGCGCCTCGGGGCGCGGTTCGGTGGGCCCTAGAAGCAGTCCCTAGGAGGGAACCTGCTCTGATTCCATGTGGAAACAAAGAACGAGGATGAATGACTATGAAGTGAAGTGAATACAAATAGGAAACCCTAATGTGTTGTACCCCCTATGGGAATACCCCACTATAGCCTACACAAACAAGTAAGCTATATGTTCTGACAACCTGTAGTCCGGGGCGCTGTCCCGGTAGCCCAGTGAGCTTGTCGCTGCGCCAGTCGCCTGTGGGTCCGTAGCTCCTGCCGCTTGTCTTAGCCGCGGAGCCAGTTACTCCTGTAGTCCGGCTGCTTGGTCCGGTAGCCACTGTGCTCGCCACTCCTGTTGCCCGTGTGTCTGCAGCTTCAGCCGCCGCCTTCTATCTCCTCTCCTCTCACTCTCCCTCCTCCTCCTCACTTGCTCGTTGTGACTACCACTAGCTTTGCTGATAATTGTAAACTTTAAACTATTGCTTCTTGAACTTGTGCTCAGAATGTGTGGTGACATTGTGATCCACCCTGAGCTTGTACTGCTTTGCTTGCTCTGCTGATTACACCCCACTTTGGCTATGGGGGTGTGTCAGAATATTGTGCTCTAGCCTGTAGTGGGGTGCTCTATAGCGAGTACAACCCTTCTAGGGTTTGCTATTTGTATCCTCATTCTTGCTAGTTCAACCCTCTTCTTTCTTTTAAACTTTCACAGACCCCGCATGTGACGAGAGCACACTCTGCGGATTTCGTGTGCAGGAGCTCACGTCAACGAAGATAGTTCATCTCGATGGTGTCGTGTCGACGTACAACCTTCCGTGGTTCAAAGGGGTGGTCGAGATGTTCAAGACCATTTTACGGTCCTGCTACATCGACTTCATCATAAGGGACGCGGCGTGGCTGTCTAAGGGCGCAATGCCCATAATTGTCTTTGAGAACGTACTGCTATGGGTGGGGTCTGCTAGCGACTGCACCCCTTGCAGGGCTGTCCACCTCTCGTGGGCAAGGTCTGGGATGTTGCCCATGGCGTGGAGGTCGCTTCTCCATCTGACGGATTATCCTGCAACTTGTGTCACGGTGGAGCCACTCATTTCCCAACTCGTCCGTCTGCAGCTACTGATAAACCAGTTCAAAAAGGGCGATACTGCCATGATGCAAGCCACCGAATACGCGTCGTGCGACACCCGCATTCTCGCCATCATCGGCCGGGACGCTCCCGTCGCAGACGTCGTAGCGGTGGAGATTACCGCTCCGTTGATTATGCCAGCTGGGCCGAGTCTGCACGACCCTCGTAGTCGCCGCCGAATAGTGCGCGCCGTGACTAAGACGTATATACGTACCGCGGCGCAACTTGGCATTCTTCCGAGGGATTTTCTCGAGCGCACTGGTCTATGCAACGACGACGTCATCAACGGGCTCCGTCGCACTCCAACTAAGCGGGCTCGACTGAGCGGTGCGCGCCCTGGCAGTTCCTGGGTATAGCGACAGCGATGGCTTAGACGGAGCTATGCTGCGGTGCAACAGTTCTCCTCTCGCTTCATCCGTCAGTGGCAACAGCTTTTAGGGGTGGCTGCGCCTAGATGGTTTGTAATTGGCTTGTCAATACCCAGCGATCTAAAAGACCGGACAGTACGGAGTTATCGCATTTAAATAAACCGTGAACGCAACATTGTAATGCGCTACCCTATACGCATGTGCAAACGTGCTCCTTACACCCGCATTAACATGTTGCATCACCCTGTATTGCTTGCACGCAACTATGACGACAATCAACAACCCGGACACATCAACTTCGTACCAGTTATTTCACCATTCTGCGCAAATGTCAATTACACGCGGTACTATCCGTCCCGTTATGTGGGTACATAAGGGTCTCGCAACCCTTTGATTTTTGTTTATGCAAACCATGTAGCCAATATCAAGCGTGGACGAGGGTGTGCATTGATTTGTACTCCTTAAAAGTCTCCATCATTCTATCCGTTGCTACCCATGCATGTGTCCGATCGAGAGTCTTCGCTTTTGGCGCGCTCTCATATATTACGGACGCGTGGCAAACTTGCCTGTCGTCTCAACCAGACCTAATCCGCACTTACGCCCTCATCAGATCCACTTCCTCCCGCACATCTCGATCTCGAGCGGATCCTTCTGTCCATCGCAGCGGTGGGCCAGGCAGTAGAAGGTGAGAACTAACGACCATGTGGAGCATTAGCTACTCCCGTCCGTAGTTGCACCAGATAACTGTCCCGCACACATAGGCGCCAACCGCACGATGTCGAAGCGAACAAAGCACGAGAAATCCGTCCACGACAGCGGGTCTCCAAAGCTTGCTCAGGGCGTGGAAGAGTTGATTGAGCGGATGCGTACCAAGAGGCCTGGCACGGACTCACCACCTCCGGCAGACAGCGACACTAAGCGTGATATTTTGAAGTCTGAGAGTTCGGAGTGCGCACGCGTCAAATCCCTACAACTCGTCCCATCTCCCGATACAGACGAGCCGAACGACTTGGTTAGCAGTCTGCAGGTTCCCGAAAACCAAAAGGCCTTCAAGACGTTGGCCCTATATGGACCTCACGGTCAGGGGTGCCACGTGACCGCGCAGGATGCGCTTACTACGGCAGACGGCCAGAATCTTGCGGACAGCGTCGTTGATTTCCACAACATGTGAGTGTCGTTTTTGTTGGATCAGGAGAGCATATATGCGCTTGTGGCTGTGTATCTTCCTCCATCAGTGCACCGTATCCTTGTACGTGTGTAGACTTCTGAACATCCGACGCCCGCATTTGCCGGATGGCAAGACATGGTTTCCGTTGGACACCAAAGCCTACGTCAACGCAACGCAGTTCAACAGGGCGTTGCCGATGGGAAGATCCCCGTGTGTTTTCGATCTCGACTACCTTGCCATACCGGCTATTGCAAGGTGGGAGGTGAAGATATCACGTGTCCAGTCCAGCATGTGCACCTAGGTCTCAACGCCATGATGATGGTTTAACGAGGTGTGGAAACCTGTGTGTGTACGTACAGGAGGCACTTCTCTCTGGTAATTGCGGTGAACCTGCGGGCTATGACAAGGAGGATGTCATCTGAGGGGGACGGCGATCCTCTATACCTCATCCACTATGACAGTGAGGGGCTGCACACGAGGACGCCAGAGGTCATAGAGGGTGTGAAGAAGTGAGTCCCAGTCACAGCAGGACAATGGACGTTGTGAAACCATTGAGGTGGAGACTCATCGGATCCGTGTTTCTATGGTGGCGCAGGATGTTGTTTCTACTTCACAAGGCTCGTCGCCCGCTCGGCGACCGTCCCGTACGCTATGAAGGCCTTGAAGGACGCCAAGCGCATACTCATTCAGGTATGGTCCGCCCGGCGTTCTTACCGTTTCACTGATGTGCGGGGCTCGACGACTGATGCATTGGTGCAATCTTCTGTGTGTTTTCCAGAAGGAGGTTATCCCTCAACAGGGTAACGACACCGACTGTGGAGTGTTCGTGTGTATGTACCTGAACGGACTGGTCAGCACGGGATTCAAGACGGTGTTTACCTGGGTGTCATGCAACGGCGTCACATCACGCACCTACAGGAGAGGCATGCGCAGGGATGTGGCCAGTCATGCAGTGGGGGAGCTGTTTGTGCAGCTGTACATGGAGGAAGTCGAGGTGCTGCCCCAGCCGCATGCGCGTGTAGACGACGACGGTTGCATGCTGTTTCCAACGGAGGACGAGGTCAGAACGGACCTGGCGCAGCTGTCCCCCGATAGGAACAGCATGGAGGTGGATGGTGTCCTCCTTGGCAGCCGCCGTAATGAGTATCGCCTCAGCGCTTGGGTTCACCCAGGATCAGCTGGAAGCGGCGTGTGCCCATGAGTTGGGTACGCATGGGACGGGACTCCTCAGGCGCGTCAAGCATGGCGACAGGATGCGGGAGCGTGAGGCGGCGTCGAGTTTGCTGACCAGACTCCTACACAACTCCCCCGCACCACTACCTCAACCCCGGTTTATTAGTGTTAACTTCCCGTACACTGATGGCTGCTGGCGACGAGCAACAAAGGGGACACGTCTCTAAGACTGCCAATCCAATCCGTGAAGGGTCATGGTGCCGGCGTCCGCATGCCAAGGACCAGGGCCACCAATGAGTATCGCCTCAGCGCTTGGGTTCACCCAGGATCAGCTGGAAGCGGCGTGTGCCCATGAGTTGGGTACGCATGGGACGGGACTCCTTCAGGCGGTCAAGCATGGGCGACAGGATGCGGGAGCGTGAGGCGGCGTCGAGTTTTGCTGACCAGACTCCTACACAACTCCCCCGCACCACTACCTCAACCCCGGTTTATTAGTGTTAACTTCCCGTACACTGATGGCGCTGCGACGAGCAACAAAGGGGACACGTCTCTAAGACTGCCAATCCAATCCGTGAAGGGTCATGGTGCCGGCCGTCCGCATGCCAAGGACCAGGGCCACAATGAGTATCGCCTCAGCGCTTGGGTTCACCCAGGATCAGCTGGAAGCGGCGTGTGCCCATGAGTTGGGTACGCATGGGACGGGACTCCTCAGGCGGTCAAGCATGGGCGACAGGATGCGGGAGCGTGAGGCGGCGTCGAGTTTGCTGACCAGACTCCTACACAACTCCCCCGCACCACTACCTCAACCCCGGTTTATTAGTGTTAACTTCCCGTACACTGATGGCGGCTGGCGACGAGCAACAAAGGGGACACGTCTCTAAGACTGCCAATCCAAAGACACCAGACGGGACGCCCGTGAAGGGTCATGGTGCCGGCGTCCGCATGCCAAGGACCAGGGCCACCAAGGTGAAGGCAAGCGGTACAGGGGGTCTGGTGAAACGTGGGGGAACGAGCGAGTACACCGGGGTGTGGTACGACCTCCAGAGTGCGGAAGTGGTGCGTCAAAATCATTGCAGACCCGGAAACTGGGAAGCAGGTTCGCCTTGGGGGTACTTGAAGGAGGAGGACGCGGCGTATGCGTACGCCGCTGGCGCGTTTGTGATCAGACGGAAGGACCACTTCCCCAAGATGATGTCATTGTCAGATGCGGAGATGGCTGCACTGGAGGGGGCTATCGTGGATGACGTTAGGCATCTTGTACAGAAGCGCAAATGGTACAGGTGGAGGGAGTGGCGTAAAGCCATGGACTACATTGGTGTACTGCCAGGAACACCCTTCAAGCCGGAGCCAGGTGCGGAGTCGCCTCCAACGAAAGCAGAGAGGCAGCTGATAGCGATACTCGAGATGCTGAAGAAGATGAGGATCTGGTGAGCGAGGATGACAATGGGGAGAAGACAGTGAGGGGGGGATTGCGTGCACGCAGGCCCAGGGGTAGTGACGTGGGCAGTGGAGGGATCATGGGACGGGTGGCTTGGAGGTGGTGTGAGAGCTGACTGGTTTAAAGTAGTAGAGGCATCTGTGGTAGACGTTGCGTGCGATGGAAACTGTTGTTGTTTTGGAGTGACAATCTAGGGACAAATGTTTGTACTTTGCATGTTGATATATGTTAAGGAGGATATATGAAAACACTTGTTTACAAATAATGTATCTCACCGTAACTGTTACAACTGGTTTGTTTAGAGTACAAAAGACTTGGTGTGGGGGGGGGGGGTCAATACACGGTGGCATGAGCACGCTGGTACGTGAGTGGGCACAATAAAGGTAAGGTTGCCAGAGCTCGGAATGGTGGCAACGATGATAGGGCAGTAGATTCGGAGGTGAGTAGGTGGATTCCACGTCAAATGAGGCCAATCTCGGACGACGGGCAGATTGTGCACAAAAAGTGAGGTTGTGCACCATTGTGCACATCGTCTGTCTGGTTGCCGCAGGCAACATGGACAGTGGCAATGAGAGCGGTAGAGTGTCCAGGGACGGAAAACGTCAGCGTGTGTCCAAGACCCCCGTCTCACCTGAAGCACTACGTGCTTCCTGGAACTTCCAAGCGTCCACCCGGTGCCGAGGGCGCCGCCTGCTAAGCGGGCAAAAACTTCCGCGACGCGGTACCTAGCGTGACTTCTGACCGTTGTATGTGTGTTGTTTGTGTTTGTGTCCGTCGTTTACATGGTTTCTGCATTGCACATGGCACACACTAACACGTACTGGGTCGGGTGTTTCGCAGCGTCGACGCCCCCTCGCGACGCGAGAGATGATCGGGATGGCTCGAGCTCTTCGTCGCGCGAGACGACGTCGAATCGCCGCAAGGCTGGAACGGCCCGGTCGCAGGAGGATGCGCGCACCGCGCGGAGTGGAAAGAGGAGCAGGGACCCAGACCTAGAGGACGATGAAGGGCGTGAAGAACCTGCAGCGACGGGCCCGGGCCCAGTGTCGTCAGACGACGACCCAAACGAAGCTCTTCCAAGGGTCAATCCGCGCGTCGACGGCGACGAAGACGCCACACAGGAGGAGGCCTCAGATTCCGCGCCCGTGACCAGGGCGGAGATGACGGCGCTGCGCAAGATGCAGATGGACACGGCAGCTACAATGGCACGGCTGGAGACGGCACTGCTGGCCTCGCTGGCCAACCACCAGGCGAAGAAGCGCAACGTGACAACGCAAGAGGCGAGTGCGACAGGGTCAACCCACGTGCGGACGTCGAGCTCACCGATCCTGCAGTGTGCGCTGAAGTTTTTTACCCGCGAACAAAGGGTGGAAGGTGGGGTGATAGGGTTGATGTCTTGCATGGTGGGGGCGCATTGTCAGTTAAGGCCCGATCTGTAGGCGGGGTGCTTGGTTGTTAAGGATGGATTGCCGCAGTGTTTTAACTGGCATGCTTACGTATGTGTGTATTGCTGAACGCAGGAAATCTTGCGAGCAGCTGTGTGTGCATCCCTTCATCAACACTCCAGACGCGCAGATGCCGTTCTACCCCAGTAGTGCGGCGAAGAGTGCCGGGCTATGCGCTGTAATTGAGCGTCTGACTCCCACCTTTGCTGCTCTCGCAATGGCTGCGGACAAAGCGTGTCGCGCTGACCTGAACCGTACGCTGAGCGATTGGAAGACGGCGGCCGCGGGCAAGGGGGCGAGACATCGCTCTGCCGAAGCTGGGACTTTTCCGCGACGAGAGGGACGCGAGCAGCCCGTGGGCTGCACCAGGGCCCGGTCGGCTGCGAGAGTTCAGGAGCGTCTTCTTCTGACGCTCGATGGGGAGGGTAAGGCTGTCAACCTGGTTGGTTTTTTGCTTGGGCGGTTGCAACATAATGACGCACGTATGGCCGGATGGTTGTTGTGCAGACCACTTCGTGATCTCCAAGTGGAGCGAGGACAGGCGCGGCATGCCATTTGCGTCGGGCGCATTTGCTGCTTGCGCTCAGCGCGGCGTTCAGGCCCCGGATGGTGAACGGGACGCTGACGTTGAAGCTGTATCACATGGCGTGGCTCGAAACACGTGGTGAGTATGGCCGATCCATAGAGTAGAAGGAGCCATTTGTGCCTGTGGTTATCCGTGAGGAGGGATGCACATTGTGGATGCTAATGCGCCTATATTCCTTGGGTGGTGCTCGTCTGCGCAGGTGACCGACGCGATCCGCTTCTGGGGACACCCGCAAGGGCAGGCTCTCGAACTCTGCGGGTGTCAACGCGCAGATCGTGGACGGCCTCCGCGATGTGCGCGCTCGTGGACGTCATGGCTGCCATCGAGCAGTACCAGCTGCAGTACGACCCCACGACGTCGTCGTGGGCGTGGGGCCGCCATGGGCTGCGCTTGTCTGCGGATGGAGTTGAGAGGCAGGAGCCCGCCAAGCAGGCACACAGCGAGAGCGACGGCTAGAGGGACAACATGTCCCTCACCTGAGGCCTAGCCGTAGAGCAGGCCATATTGCATGATGAAAGTGGGGGGTCAATCTTGCGTCAGAGTACTGGGGAAGATGAGGGCTTTAGGGGGTGGGGGTGGGTGGATAGGCGGGTAGTAGCTTTTGAAGTGTTGGTGTAGTGTTGCATGTTGTGGTGGGCGAGCGCATACGGAGGGTGGGTTATGTGATGGTTTAATGTGCGGTCAATGAAGAAAGTTATGCGTTAGTTGCAGAGCAGAACCAAATTGCCGACGCATAAGTTGCACGGAGAAGGCAGTAAAATGTACTAGAAGCATGAACAGTGCGGTCCAGGGTAGGTGGAAACGCGGGCCCGGGTGTTCAGTGGGTGAATATTGATGGTGCGATCTATGGGTGCTTCACTCGCGCTACGCGTGGATTCACTGCGAGGCCCGTGTGATAGACGGTGGTGATGTGTGATAACGTCATGGGTGTTGTTGTCGCCGGGCATCGTACATCGTGGATGGACTCTCGCACGAGCAGCGGTGCGAGAACAGGCGACGTATTAGACGCGTGGGATGGTACAGAAGTTCCTCGTACGATGGTAATGCGATGGGTGATGGGCGTCGATTTGTGCGCATCGTTTTCGGTGTGAGCCGTTGATGTCGTCTTGCATCAATGGTTGTCGTCCACCATGCAGAGAGACGGTGTTGGCACGATGGTTGGATGTACGCCGTGGATTGTCGTGGGATGAGTGCACCAAAACCGTGGGTGTGTCTAAAATCGACGGTGTGAAGGGGGGCACGTGTGCGGTTTTCTAGGAGGGGGGTAAATCTGGGTCGTCCATGCATTTACGTTTTGACGGTTGGAGCTCGGCAGAGGCTGAGCTAAGAACGAGGAGGAAACCTACGGAGCGCTTGGAGAGAGAACGGCGGAGTACTGCTGGAGCACGGAGGAAAACAGAGCTAGGAACGCCAGTCTAGTAAACGGCTGGAGGAGGCAGGGCTGACGAGCCGATCGAGGAGCCAGAGAGTCGTTCGAGGGGCTGGCGGAGCGAGAGAGAGACCTAGCTAACAACGAACGTCAAGGCTAGCCTAAAAAGCTAAGCAGAGCGGCCTCCAGCCGCGACAGTGCGAAACACTGTGAGTATGAGTGACGCGAGTGTCGAACCAACGGAGGTCGGGTGGTCCTGGGTGGTGTGCGCGCGAGAGCGGCTGGAACGGGCTGTGAGCGGTTGGAAGGGGCTGTGAGCGGTTGAAAGGGGCTATGGGCGGGTGGGAGGTGCTAGCTGGCGCCAACTGCTGGCGGCTAGGTTCCGGTGGCTAGCTGCTGCTGGCGGCTAGCTTCTGCCTAGCCGTGCTGCTACTACTGCAGGAGCACGCGCTGCTGCCTAGCCGTGCTTCTGCTGCAATGCACGCGCTGCTGCCTAGCCGTGCTGCTGCAGCAATGCACGCGCTGCTGCCTAGCCGTGCTTCTGCTGCAATGCACGCGCTGCTGCCTAGCCGTGCTGCTGCAGCAATGCACGCGCTGCTGCAGCAATGCACGCGCTGCTGCCTAGTCGTGCAGCTGCAGCAATGCACGCGCTGCTGCTGCAATGTGCGTGCTGCAGTGGCGTGCGCGGCTGCCGCTGGCTAACGCGCGCGCTGCTGCGGGCTAAGAACGACTACGCGGGCCCGCGGGTGGGGGTGGAGAGTCCCCTCTGAGCGTGACGAAACGAGGGGCCAGCGGGGCCCTTTAAGCGCGACGAAAAACGAGGCCTGCGGGGGCCTTAAACGTTGTTGGCGGTGCTTGTAAGCCTGGATTATGGTGCGTGACGGTTCGTTTAGGGTGGCAGGGACGACACGTGCTTGTCAGTGGTTGGTAGCCCAGCTCAGAAACGCAAGTACGTTCAGTTGCGTCTGGAGTTGGATGTAACGTGGGTGTTGTAACTGTACACCACGTGGATGCCTACGTGGCAGTGGCATTGTCCGTGATGTTATGGTGACGTAATGGTTGTGGTGGTGCGCCGGGTCACTGTTCATAGACGCGATGGTCACTCAGATGTAACGTTGCGTGTGACGAAAATGTGTTGTTTACGAAACAAATGCGGAACGGAATGGTGAAGTGTTAGTGACTCTATAGGTAACGTCGCGAACTGGGACTTCTGTCCATGACTTTTCCGTCACCGGAAAAGGTTACGTAGAAGTCCCTTATAAGTCACATTTCCGTGCTTTCCTGACTTAGCATTTCCGCGATGAAGGTATGGTCTTTCCTAGGAATTGCGGGAGGACGCCGAGTGTGGTCTCACGGAAAGTATTCCAACGGGGTGAAATAAACCGCATTCTTACCTTAAAAACATGTGATAATTAGGATCCTTCGAACGAACAAACGTACCGTATCTCTACTTAGAATGAATGTCAAAGGTTGCAATGTATCGCACCTTAAGTTTGAGGGCCGACTTATACGTTTATCAACTAATCAAAAGCAGAACACGGTGGTGGGATGGGAGATAGGGGGTAGAGAACATGTGTGGTGGGATAGTGGATAGCAGAACACTTGTTCAC